GTTTAGTTTACCTCTAAATAATTCAGACATAATCAGAGCTTTTAAGCTCTTAATTGAAAAAAACAAACAAACACACTTAATACCCTAAGGTCTGACCGATTCAGACATAAGAGGGTATTAAGTGCTTTTTTTGTAAAAACAAACAAGGCCTTAGTAACTTTTTATTAGAGTCTCTGAAAAATAAAGGCTTTTTTAAAAATTAAAATTCAATAAAAGGTTTTACTTACATTTGTGAAAGCATATCTCTAGGCTTATTATAAAAAAAAAATCAAAATTACATATAAATTGATTTCGCAGGAAATGAACGGATTATGTGCCCTAGTTTTCTCTTTCTCTATCTGTTGATTAATATAATATATAATTATACACAAATAGAGTTGAAATATGGATGAAAAATAATAATAATATGCCCTTTAGAGAATGAATATTGATCTTTTAAAAGTGTATCTGAATATATGCTTTAGAGAAAGTTTTAGGTAAAGATGTTACTAAAGCTAATACCTTTAGAAAAGCTTTTTTATGGACCTTCTCTTAAAGTACCTTTTCTAACCGTCACAAAAGCATCACTAATAAATACATTTAGAGAAGTTTTTTAAAAAAATTGACGAACCTTTAGAGAAGTTTTGAAAGTGTATCTAAAACCCCAAAAAGGTGTCTCTAAAAGCTACCAAAAACATATCCACCTAAAATCATCCGTAAAACCTTAACCTACCCTTATATATACAAGTTTTTTGACGTAAATGAAAAGTTTCTCTAAACGTTTAGAGAAGCTTTTAAGCGTGTTAAGTACGAAAGAAAACCTTCCCTAAAGGTTATTTTTCTTGTAGTGAAGTCATCTTCTAAATACTAGAAATCCAGAGCAAACAAGAAAAAATATTTTGAAGGAAAAAAATCTAAAACTTTGAATTGAATGAAGTATGAAACATCCAATTGTCGCATTTTTGTTGTAAGCATCACAATATAGAAAAATATAGCATTGCAGATATAATCACTAAACAAATTTTCAACATAGAAGTTTTAACTTTTGATGGAATGAGACAACGAACTAATAAATGCATGTGGAAGAAGGTTGGTCATAAAGAAGGTGAAGGGAAGAATCCAACATGCAATGTTGTTTTCGTATTTAAGTGGAGTCTATCTGCTTATCAAGAATAAAAAATATATAGCCATTAAAGAAAAGTCAGAGTGTTACAAAATACATCACTTTTAGCATGGCATGTACGATGTGTTTTGTTAAATAAAACAACGAGCGAAGACCGAATGATGTGTCACATGTCATGTACGATACTTCTAGCATGGCGTGTATGATACTTTTAGTATGCACAAAAGTATCCCTTTTTAGTATACATAATGATGTATCCCTTAGCTTCAAAATTATTGCAACGTATGGCTCGATGCATAAACCTATAAACCTTCTAATAGATTGCTTAATGAAACCTTAAGTTTACAAGAGCAATAATTGTGTATCCTATCTAAAGAAATTACAAAAATCCAATGTCTTTTTCTATTACACATGGGTCTCTCCTTCAAGTCATTGAGAGCTCTGTAGAAACCACGTCTCTGAATAGAAACAATTACCGTTGCACGTACGAGAGTATTTCCGCCATTTTTAATACAACGTCTATATTTTGAAGTCAAAAACTTAGACTTTTGATTATAATTAATTCATAATTTGTTTTATTCTTTGTGTCTCACAAGTTTTACTTATGGTTTTGTGTGGTTAAGAAAGTCTGATCTTTAGTTCTATATGTAGTTTATGATGTATTAGTTGGGTTCAAGTATTATCTTATATTTAAACATGTTTTTTTATTAATTTATTTAGTTTAA